AATTCCGACTGCTTTTAGCACTTTGTATTAGATACTTACTACAAACGACTACCACACAATATAAATAATTATCAATTATCATATCAGCTGGACTTTATGATACATAAGGGTAAGATCACACATTTCTATGCACTTGTACAGATTTGTTTTCCTGCGATTTAATAGCAAAAGGCCTCTTTCAGCTCACCTGGTTTCCAATTAGTACTGATTTCCTGTTTAAACTGGTTCTGTTTCTTTGATCGGAAAAATGGGAATAGACTTTAGCTATTGTCAAATAGAGTCAGTCTCCTTAGTGAAGAGGATTAAATGCAATCTTGTATATTAAGGATCAAACATACTAGTGTTTATAGAAATATTCTTGTGGCTATATCAAATTAAAATAGATTATCTTCCCTTTATAGTTTCGTTATATAATTACTGTTTAAAGCATGTTCAAAACAGCACAGAAACTGATAGCCAAGAGGGTTTAAATACCAAGTTCAAGTTTTTTTTCGTGCAGTTAGCAGATCAAGACTCAGAACTCAGGTATCCTGTCCTCTAATCAAAGCTTCATTCACCTGGCCATTACAATCATATGTGGGTTTTTGTTTGTTTGCTTGCTTGCTTTTGGACCACACCTGGCAACACCCAGGGGTTACTTCTGGCTCTGCACTCAGGAATGACTCCTGGCGGTGCTCAGAGGACCATATGGGGTCCTGGGGATTGAACCCAGGTTGGCCGCATAGAAGTGCCCTACATGCTGAACTTGTTGCTTTGGCTCCATACAATCACTTCTGATTTGGAGTTGTGGATCTATTGTGAGAATTTTTGAAGACTAACTCAGATACAGTAAATGAAATGTTTTTATTTGGGGTTATACCTTCCTATAATCATCAAACATTGTAGATTAATTGATTATGAAGAATCATGTGTTATGAACTGATGACCTACTTTATGAACTGCAGATACTATGTACACAGCTTTTTTCCAGCACAGGAACATTTCTACAGAAGACAGAATCACTGGTTCACACAAAACTAAAAGTTGGTGACAGTGGCTCTTAGGGCTAGACCAATGGTGGGGGCAGATGAATTTCCCAGTGCCTAATGCTCACAGTATCATTTCAGTGGAAGCCAGTTGGTACATGTAGACCCCCATTTTATGTTACCAGCTTCTTCTAGATTGGCACCAATACTTTTATGCTAATTCAAAGCAGTCCCTTCACCAAAAACAATTCCTTTGCAGAACCCCTGCTCCCATGTGCTTTGTTATACCCAAATCTACTTAGAAAAAAAAAAAGAAAGAAAACGGTTTGTTAGCTCAAAAATTACTTTCTATGCTTTTCTTTAAATTTTGTTTATATTAGAGAGACATGACATTTCTATTTCTTTGGCAGTAAGAGTGCTTTGAGGTTAATAAAAATCACTTAAATTTATGAGGCATTGTTCTCTTCTAATTCAAGGTCTTAATGCCTGAAAATAGCTGGTAAACTGAGGCACAAGAAAGGAGCTTCTAAGAGACAGCATGCATTAGTTCAGTGCTTGGCTTTGATCACTCTTAGGGCACTGAACCAGAGCAGATGCCTCCATGATGTAAAATAACTAGCCATGTGCCCCAGGGACACGCTACCTTGGCCGGGACCTAATTGATGCAGGACCCATGGCAAGAAGCTGACTGTGATTGCTCAGCTTGTCTGGGTCAGCCATGGAGACAGAGCCAGAGCTGCAGCCCAGCCTTCTGACTCAGCATCTGTGACTCAATTCACAGGAGTGTCATGTACGTTCCTTTCGGCTGGACTGTGAAATTGGAGCAGTGTGTTCGAAATTCTGTGGAATACACCTTTGTACATGGGCCTGCGAGAAAAGGATAATAGGCAATTTTAGTGCAGAGCCTATGAAATCCATCTTAAGTCTACTTTTATTTTTACTCTCTTTGCTACCAACCTTATTTTTTTTGCCAGGGGAGTGAGGGGTTTTGCACATCCTGCTTTCTCCTGGCTCTGCACTCAGGGATCACTCCTGGTGAGCTCAAGGGACCATATGGGGTGCAGGGCATCAAACCAGGGTCATCCACATGCAAGGCTAGTGCTCCCCTGCTGTACTGTCACTCCAGCCCCTACTGTCAACTGTTTTAGTGCTTTGAACAAGGTGTCCTTTCATTCATTCCGATTTGATCTGCTGACTAGACCCTCCTTCTGATGTGGGAGGTTGTGAACAGGGAAACAGCTACATGATGCCCACACTAAAGAAAATCCCAGAAAGCATGGCAGGCTCTGGTAGTTCATTGATTTGGGTCCCTGGGGACTAAAGGGTAAATGGATATGCATGATTTGGCTCACAAATGCCTTTTCCCTTTCTCTTTGTGCTGGGTGATGACAGTTACTTTTCCTTAACAATCGCAGATTCCTTTCATGTTCTTGGAATCCTGGAGCTGGAAAGATCATCAAAAGTTCATCATATTTCATGTCCCACTTGCCAACAGAATTATACTTAAACTATCCAAGCTGGATCATTGTTTGTTCTGGTCTCTGAGTCTCAGACATGGAGGGCGGTAATGGACATTCAGTGGAAGAAAACTTGGGGAAATAATTCCAGGGCTGGAGCATGTCATGTCCAGAGCCCCAGGTTTGATCCCCAGAACTTCATCACCTCCCTAGCACTGTCTGGTCTGGCCCTAGTGTATTCAACATGCTCAGGGAGCAGCCCGACTAAGAAAAACTCCCCAAACAGAAAAGCAACAAAAATAAATCAAGGGAAGGTATCTGGCTTACAACCCACTCCTGACCTGCCGTAGTTATGATAATATTTCTTTCTTCGCTAAGTAGTAGTACAGTATTCAGCACACACAGCCGAATGTGTTCTGGGTAGTGATCTGATACTCCAAAATGCAAATGAGACTACATGGCAAGAAAGGACAATGTTCTTTAAAGAAACAACATTTTTTTTTATTCATCAGAGATTTGTCAGCATCATCTTTAGCACACATGAGGGTGGAGAGTGGGTTCATCTTAACTGTTCAAATAAATCCTACAAAATAGCAAATAAATATTTATCAGCTAGAGAAGTCAAGCTGTCTAGAAGGAGAGAGGAGCTGTTCTTTCTTCAGTGCCCTCAGAGTTTTTTTCACATGTGGCCATCAGTTGTGGTGCCAAAAGAACCCCAGCAAACACTGGTCCATGTGCTGCTGAGTGAGAAACACATTCCAGGAGTAGATCCCTTTGAGAAACATTGCATTTTTTCTCTCTCCTTTTTGTAATTCTGGTGCAAATGAAGGGTACTAGGAAGATTAGAAATAAAGAAACCAGCATGTGAAAAATAACTCAGTATTGCCTAAGCCCATTTGGTCATAGAATCTTTTTTTTCCTCATAAAAGTTTTCAATCACTCACCCTTTAGAGAATATGTATTTGGGGGGGTTCATGTCCATTTTGTCTACCTGAGGAAGGGTCACGTCTTGTCTGTTTTGTACCTGACATACATGCGTCAAGTGAAAAGCTATGCCTGAAAATAGTCTGGACAGGGTGGATTAATTGACACCAAGATTCAGGAAAGCTGGAGTAGGGCTGTGATGTCATAAGGATAAAGATGGGCAGGATTATGGCTGGAATCACAGAGAGGAAAGAAACCAGGAACAGTTTCTGAACTCTAAGAGACTGGTTTTAACTCAAAGACGTCTGAAACTTTCCACCCAAACTCTTGAAGATTTATAATCCATCATTCTGGAAATTAACAATGTTCCTTTTAAATCACCTCTGTTTTTCCAGCTTCCAAAGAGAGATTAGCATGGTTATATGTTACTAAACCATAACCAAAATGTTGTAGAAATGTCATGCTTAACCTCACAGTCAAGGAATTCTCTGGAAATCAGATGATTTGGAATGACTAACCGTAATGGATCAAAGTGGACTCTGAAGAGCCCTATGTTCCCCAGGCTGACCACTGTCAGTCTTACAACTCAAAGGATGTATCAGAGTAGGGTTCCCCAGGAGAGAATGACAAAGGAGGCTAATGGTAATACAGGATAAAAGAGTCTGATAGCCCAGAAAGATTGGCATCTGGTCCTTGAAGTGACAAGGGAAAATGCTATTAGAAAAATATGCTTTATTCCGTTCTGAATAGGAGCCTTCATTGACTCCTCTATGATTCACCTCAAGAGGTCAAAGAAAAGACAGAAAGATAGGAATCAGCAGCAGTCTTGCGGCCTCAGTGGCATGACCCACATTATGAATGTACTGTTATGCCACAGAGCCAGAGATAGCTCAGAATGCTCAAAATGGTTCCAACCACCTTCACTTGAAAAGGGGACAGTTGCCTCTCAGTTGAAGAGAAGTTGAATAAATACCCAAAGATTGTTTCAAAGCTCTCCTTTGGCTTGACTGTAAGAGATCAGATAGCATGGAAGTGTTAAGGCCTACCCGAGCCAGAGTGATGTTTACTAGGGTCTCTATCGCGAAATCTCAAGAAGTCGCTTTTGCTATTGTTCCCTTTATGAAATCTTCCATTTTGGCTGCAGCTGGAGGTAGAGTAGATCCTAATAGTCACTGTCACACGACTTCATATTTTCCTGCAGTAGTTACTCAAATCCGTGCTCATCATGTGCCTACTATGGCATCAATTATGAGAAGACATATTTGTTGCTAAAATCACATGCTGACTTTCATAGCTGTCAAGGAATATTACATTCAGAAGAAGAAAGGAGTGTTCCTTTTCCACATGTTGCCATATCTGCTTTATTACGAAAATAAAGGGCTCTCACCTCATAGCTTAATGTTATATCAAGCAATAAATGGGACAGTTACCGGTTCTATTTTCCTTATCCTGTCTTCCTGCACCACTGCAACACAACATGTTTCTTACTAGTAACAGATGCTTGGAACCTTCTTTTGAAATTCCTCGGGAGAAACTGCCCTGTTGATTCCATTAGACGGGAAGTGGCTTTATGCAGATGTCTACTTGCAGGGATGCATTGTTGTAATTGCTGTTCTGCTGACCCCTTGCTGAGTGCCATGCTTTTCTCTTGTAGGTGATGTGCCTTCAGGACTTTTTTGGTGACGATGACATTTTTATTGCATGTGGACCGGAGAAGTTCCGTTACCAGGATGATTTCTTGCTAGATGAAAGTGGTAAGGAAAAAAAAAGTTCAAAACCAGGGGAAATTTGAGGCAGCTTTCCAAAATGAACTGCACCAGGCCAAGATTATGTCAACTCCAAAGCTACCAAATCAGTTTCAGATCCTCGACTAGCATGTCTTTTCCATATCTCGAATTTCTTTGATATTTTTTATATAGGAAACAGATGAAATGATAATTGGAAAGGTTAAATCATTTAGAAGGGTAAATTACCAATGGCTAATTTATAACCATTTCATAACTAAATTGGTGTTCTATAGAAAGCCAGGGATTTCTACATTTCTAGCAATATCATTTTCTCAAAATTGATAGTTGAGAGATTTGTAATCATAAAATGATTGCATATGCTGCTCGGTCTAGCTTTCCCTCCTTTTGGGTACTAACAAAAAGAGGTCTAGTATCCCTCTCCCTTTAAGTATGGCAGTGTGCACGTCATTGACATCTGTAAGGAGTTGCTAAAAGAACATCCTTCAGTTAAAAATTACATCTGATTGTTTTCAGTTGATAAATGAAAGGGATCATTGATAACGTGGGAAAGATGTGCCTTAGAAAATGAATACCAAAGGTTATGACATCAAGAATGATTTTTCTGATACACCATATTATCTCAATCTTAACTGCACTACAGGAAAGCTCATTGCATGGAATAAGGAGAGCTTTATTTGATCTTCTGATTTAACTAAGGTGTAATACATATTTATTGACAAATCAAATTTAAATAGCTAGAAATGCTTTTCGAAGTTATTAGTGTTATTACTTGCTTAGATAAATGTGAAAAAATAGTGAGTTTTTGGAAAAGTAACTGACAGAAAATTAAGTATTAATACATTTGGATAAATGATGTGATGTAGCAGTTCCACTCTATGGTAGATCATGTTCTCTTCGGGTATCTGGAATATATGAAGATATACATATTGGCTATACATTCTCAAATATGCCACACTATTTTATCTTGTAAAAATTGCAGTATTGAGGTTAAGAGTACATTAGGAGTCTCCCTTTGTCATGCAAACTTCAGATAAGTGTCTGATAAAAAATGATAGATGTACAATGTGATGATGATGATGACTTAAAGATAGATGGATGATATTTATGTGTGTGTATGTGTGTGTGTGTGTGTGAGAGAGAGAGAGAGAGAGAGAGAGAGATTATGATAGAAGTCTTACTTGAAGAGATTTAAGTGACTTTGGCCCTAGTTGGAGAAGTGGTTTGGAATCTCCCTTCCTCTAAATCCATTTCATCTTTTCTGTGATAGTCAGTGCCCTTTGAGGGCAAAGTTTTCTGCAAATCCATCACACATACAGTGCTCTTCGTGGAGGGCTTCTCCCTGCCCCTCCTCTTAGCCAGGAGAAGGCCCCTCTGCCTTAGTGTGAACAACTGAATGTTAAAGGCAGGCAGAAGAGCTGACAGCACAGTTTTGAGAAAAATTAACTACCTTGACTTTCAATTTCAAGAAAATAGCTCTTTCTGATAGAATCGTCCGTGAGCACAGATGTATTCTGAAATGAAAGTTTCGTCTATCGCTTTGATACAGAAAACAGCCTGTCAAACTCGAATTGGAATACAGCTCTGTTTGCAATCAGCAGGCCTGTCCTGGTCTTCCCCCAGCCCTTGTCTCCCCAGCCCCCAGGTAGAGGTGGGCCTCTCCCCGAACCATGTGCCTCCCACCCAGGGGTCGCAGCCCGCTCCTGTGGTTGCAGGCCAGCTTTCTGAGAGAACACAGAAGATACCAGAAAAATCCCTGCTGATTTCTTTTTAGAATCCTTTCCACTTAAGAGAGTGCACACCCCTTGCCCTCCATGCAGCCGGCCTGGGTTTGATCCCCCATCCCTCATATGGTCTTCTGAGCCCTGCCATGAGTGATCTCTGAGCACAAAAGCAGGAATAAACCCGGAACACAGCTGGATGTGGCCCGAAATACAACAATAACAAAGAGTGCACGCAGCATGCGTGTTTTCTCTCTCTCTCTCTCTCTCTCTCTCTCTCTCTCTCTCTCTCTCTCTCTCTCTCTCTCACACACACACACACACACACACACACACACATGCACAAAGCATCATGCCTAGTGTTGATAGTTTGGCCCTTTTATGAATACCTCCAAAGTGTTTGAGGGAAGGCTTCACATCCTTTACCCCGATTAACATCCCCTAATTATTTCTGGGTTTGAAATCCATTTGCTGAGTAACAATGCCTCCCCCATCCTCAAAGAAGCACGTGGATGGGGAAGGGAGTAGGGAGCAGAAAGAATCTAATTTGAGATTTTCACTTCCTTGGATGAACTTACCCTGAGACTAAATTCACATGTCGACAACTGCAATTTCCCTCTGGCTTGTACAGCATGTTCTAGTGCTAATGTATTAAAATTCGAATCTTTTTCTAAGTGCTCTGAGCATGATTTAGGCCAGCCTATCTGTACTTGCTAAATGGTATCTGCACATGGAGGCTTCATTTGGCCTCTTGCAGCATTGCTTCTTGAAAGGAGAGTCGGCAGGGGGTACGATCATCTTTAGGATTAATACTCCTGCAGGGTTGTGCTTGGCTTAATGGCACCATGAAGTGGCCTTTTGCTGCAAGGCAGCACTTTTCTTTTATCTTTCAAAATTAACCCACTCCCAGTGTGTTCTGGATTACTAATAATATAATACATCCCCCTAATTACTGCTGGGAAAGCTTCTGGAGACGGCACTTATGGTCTTGCCAGCAAGGAGTTTTGCCATTACAAACATACGTTTTCCGGGGCTCCATTGGTGCCAGATAAATATTAGAAACTGTGAGGGAGCTGCCTTCCTTCCCTAATTCTTCACATAGGGGCAGGGAGAATAAAGAGCAGGCTTTTTCCTCTTCTCCTCCTTTATTTCCAGCCCAAAATATAACCATTTTAGCAATATCGTCATCAATCAGAAGAATCTTAACACCTTGGAAATGGTGGCTAGAACACTATATATAGCTGCAGTCAGGCCAGCAGATCCTTCCTTCATGGGTGTCTAATTTAGAACGATGAAGCACAGTTAAGGAAAATGCCAAATTGGAGACAGGAAGCTCGAACATGGTTTTGCTCCTGTTTGTTGATGATACACCAACGAATATGGAATTTTTTGCCCTTAAATTGTGACCAGATTTTGCTGAGAAAGGCCTCCCTCCCTGTTGAGAAGGGCAGTGAACTTCTTGGCCATGAGCTTTTCACAAAATGTCACCGGTGTGAGTCTTGGAGCTAATACCCCCAAAGTTGTGAGTCCACTGTCTTCAGCCCCTCTCCTCTCTGCTAGCCTTCCCCTGCCAGGCCTGCCTGCTGCTCAGGAATTTAGATCACGCTTATCTTCTCTTTCTACCAACTGCTGAGTTCTCTTGATTCTCATGTTAACAGGCATCACTTTCAATGGCAGAAGTTTGCTTAGACATTATATTAATTTCGTAGGGCTACCTTCGCAGCGTCGTAAATCGGGTAGCTCAAGACAAGAGACATTTAGTCCCTCACAATTCTGGAAGCCAGAAATCAAAACTTAAACAGGCAGCTCCGAGCTCTTTCTGAAGTCTGAAGGAAGGTCCTTGCATGCATTTTTCTGGTTCCCAGTCCTTGTCGGCCATCCTGGACCTGCCTTGTTCTTCAATCCCTGCTGCCATCTTTACATGCATTTTTGGCTGTCCAGATTTCTCGTATTATGACGCTGGGATGAAACCCACCCTCATCCTGTATGACCTCATCTTAGAATGATTACATCTGCAGATTCCTAACGAGGTTACTTTCAAAGGTAGCAGGCTTAGGTCGTCTACGTGGGGGTTTTTTCTCTTTTTTTTTAAGTCCACAATTCAATCGACAACAGATGTTGTTTGGAGCTCTCCAGATTTTATCTGAACTTGGGTAGCAGCTAAACTGATTTTCATCTGTCTTTTTTTCTAAACCAGTCTTTAGAGTTTCAGAGATATAGCTCTGATTTAGCTTTATATTTACTAATAGAACATACTTTCTGAGCTGTGACAAGGCGAAGACTTTTCAGCGATAACCACTCACCTTAGAGATCAGGAGAGTGTTGTGGGATGTTCTGAACACTTCATGGCATTGGGGGGGGCCTTTGTAAAAAGTACTGATTGAAGGTTGATGTCAAATATGCTGGAGGAGATCTCCATTAGGACCGACCCAGAAGACCCCTGAAGATAAGTACTTTTGCCCCCTGAGAATCATTCCAAGAGCTCTGCCTTAGATTCTGGATTGCGGAGCATGATCGAAATGCCTCATTTGGGAGCCTAGGATTTAGGAATGTTAATGGCAGGCAAATGAAGTCCTCTGGCGTGGAAGCCAATGTGATACAGACCGAATAGGACCTTAACAGAGTGAATTGAATCTAAGGAGGTAAATCAAATTGGTGAAAGCAAAAAGTAGGTTTTGTTGTTAAAACAAAAAGCTAGATTATGGGGGGCGGAGTAAGAGTACGACGGATTACCTTGCATGCAGACAATCTGGGTTCGATGCCCGGCATCCCATATGGTTCCCCAAGTACCACCAGGAGTAATTCCTGAGTGCAGAGCCCGGAGTAACTCCTGAGTATTGCTGGGTGTGATCCCCCCCAAAAAAAGCAAAAAAAAAAAGCTAGATTTTTTCCCCCTATAAAATAGGAAACTAGTGCTGAGAGCTAGTGTTGGGAGAAATGTCATTTTAATAATAGCACGTGTGAAAATGACTCTGGGTTGACTGAAGGCCTTTGGTGAGCCAAAGTGTGATGTGGCTCATTTGCTATGGGCGTATCATATTACACAAGCTTTCATCTCTGATTGGAGATGACAGAGGCTGGCTGAAACAAGAAATTAAAAATGCTATATCAAATCCATACGATATATAGTAGTGTTGCATGAGAAGAAATTCAAATAACCGAGAATTCAAATTCTGTTTATTTTTCAATGGCAGCATTTATACTATTGAAGCTCTGTGAGGCTGGTCACATAAAAACAAATGCAAAAAATAAAAGTGAAAACTTTTAAGAGAATAAAATAAAAAATTG